ACAAAAAAAAATATTCTTTTTTATTTTTAAATTAAATCTAGCCTTGATCTAAATATTGGTTTTGGGTTTTGTGATGATTTTATGATGTTTGATTTTAATTATGATGTATATAAATTTTCAGATTTGGTTTTGAAATAAAAAGCCCCAGATTGAAAACCCTAGGTTTCTAAATTTATGTTTATTGATGGAAATTGTTTATGAGATTTAAATTATTGAAATAAGTGTTTTAAAACACAATTACAGCAATTTTAAATAATTTAATAAAGCTGGAATTTTTATAGAAAGGCTATAGTTATGTTTCTTGAAAGGATTTTTATCCATTAATTGGGAATAAAAACAAGGGTTTTAAATAAAATTTCAGCTTGTTTTAGAGGGTTTATGAGTGATTTAAAGAGTGTATATATTACAGGAAATTTGTGTGGAAGAGGTATTAATACTTCTTTGTAATTTTGGTTTGTAGGAGACTTTCAAGTGAGTGATTTTATTTAGTCGTAGTGATTTTGAGATCATATTCAAGGTACGTTCGCGTACTTGGTAATTACTTGAATATGTAGAAGCATGCTAGGCTTTGCTTAATTAATTCCAAGTAGTATCATGATAGGTGTTGGTTGGAATTTGTTGATTGGATTGATGTTGGTAAATGATTTGTGATGTGTGAATTATTTATGATGAATTGGTGATTGGAATTAATTGTATTGGCATGCAGATTATGAACCACACTTTTATTTTTGGCATGATAGAGAGCATGTTTAATTAAACTAAACGTTTAATTTGGTTTTGAATATGGAAAGGAAATGTTATGGTTCGTATAATTTTTATTGATGCTATAAACATGGGAAAAGAGCTATTTAAGTGTCTTAGTACACAGGAATAAATTATATTGCAGTGCTCATGTGCACTTAAGGTGTTTCTAACACCGAGGGATAGGTTTTGCGGCGCATTATGTGTTTAAGGTGTCTTTGACACTGAGGTAATTTAAAAAGGATTCAACATTAAATTTATGTGGTCACTAATTATTCAAGAAATTAAATTGGTATGTTTGATTTGCTTGAATGAGTTGTAGTGTTTGATTGCGCTATGGTTTGAGAGTCATCACCAAGTATAAAATATGTAAACAGCGTAAAGTGAGAGAGATTACACACCAAAACTCTTGGAACGTATATACCTTGAGTATGAACATATGGGGGGAGTTATGCGACTTTCTATTTGACCATAACTTCTACTGGGAGTACCGGATGCTATATTTTCCTTTTTATTTATTTTATGCACAGGACGTCCAGTCACTTCATGTGACACTTGCCTACCCGGTTAGCTCCCGGTGTAGTTTACCTCAATTTATTTTGGGCAGGGATTTGGTTGGAAACTCGTTCGATGTGTAATCAAAATTAAATGAACACAAGTGATGAGTGTTTGTATGCTTGTAAACAGGTGCAACATGATAAGTTGTGTGTTGATAGGATGAAAGCATGTTAATGTGTTTTATTACGCTTATGTACTCAGCATTGTTGATTGTGTGTTTGTATGTTTGTTTGGCCTTGTCTTTACCTTGGCCCTACGACAACCCATTTCTAATGGCGAGTAGTGGGGACAAGTAGAGAGAAGCTTTTCAGGTGGTGAAGCATTTTTCATGATGGACATGAGTGAAGAGCAAATCATGCTTAGTTCCCATAAGAATATGATGTGTTTTATTTTCTTTGAATATTATTTATTTTATTATGCTCACGAGAATAACGCAAAGGTTTTCGGTATTGTTTGGTTTTAAGGGCCTACAATAATTCCAAGTTGTAGGTTGACTTTGTTTGACCTTGTTTGACTTCGTTTGACTTTACTTTCTTTTGGTTTGATTTTTGAAGTTGACTTGTTTTGAAATGGTTTTAAAGAGTCTTCCGCTGTGTGTCTTTGATATTTGCCTTAGCTGTTTTCATGGTGGCAGTAATGTCTTAGATTTTCCTATTTCGTATTTTAAAAAGGGCAAAACAGGTATTTTTTTAAAGGAAAGGAATTTCTAGGGTGTTACATGATGGAATTCTAATTTCAACGTAGCTCGAATCGGCTCGTAACTTGTCTAGCTCAATTCTGCCAGCTCAATTGCTCGGCTCGTAACTCGTAAAACTCGATTGCTTGACTCTTAGCTCGAAAAACTCGATTGTTAAGCTCATAATTAACTCGTGTAAAATTGTTTTTCTTTTCTTTTATTTAACTTAACTAATTTTTATTTTTTTGAATAAAACTTAATTAATTCTATCAACTAATAAGTCGAATGAAACATAACAAAATAATTAGATTATAAATTCAAATTCTTACACAAAAAACAATAGAACAAAGTAAATTAATAGTACAACAATTGTTACAAAAACCTAGTACATGAAATAATTCTTGTATTCAATGAGTCTTAGCTTGCAATTACCAAACACACAAACTAAACAGAAAAGAAGTACATCGGATGATCTGCAGCAACACCACACACCAGCCATTTAACCAGAAGAACGAGCCAAATGAGAATTCCAAAAACACCTTGCATAAAATCATTGACTTTGGAACCTTACAAATAGAATGAAACAAATTCGTGATGGAAGTTGTTGAATTGAAAGTTGAACCAAATGAAATATGAAGGCACCATTTTGGCTTTAAACGTACACTCGACACCACTCCCCTCCAAGAGATCGAAAGCCAAACCAGGTTCTTAGGAGTCTGGGAACACGACTGATAGAGCCACATTTAATGACTCCACCAAGAGAAACCTTGCACCAATATGCAAGTTCTCTACATGCTTGCAAATCCACCAATGGAGAATGCAAGAACCTGGAGGACTTTTCTTTGTACCCCAAACATTAAAATTAAGGAGCCTCCCTCAATTCAAGATATAGGTTGGCGTGATTTGTTTGTGTTTGTGTTAGTTGGTTGGTTGTTTGAAAATCCCCAAACAAATGAAGTGTCCCATTAGTCTAATTGGGGTTTTGGTTTTTCTCATTGGCATTGTTAGACCCGGGCGAATCTACATACCCTTTTATGTATGTCTGAGCCTAAGTTGTATAAGCGTATTTAAAATTTAAAATTATGTTGCTTTTACATTTTATCATCTTTTAATTTGGAGTTGTCTTAACCTTTAAGATTCAAAAATCATAAATTACTATGAATATTACTAGAAGATAATATACTACTCTACTCAAAATATGCTTATATAATGCAAAAATACGTGAAGTGAGAAGATAATTTTGAATGCAGTGTTTTCACGATATGCCCCCGAGTTTTTACTATATTTACCATATATATTTAAACTTTTTTAAATACATGATATACCCTTAAGTATCACAAAAATGCATCAAATTAATACTCTTATTGACTACAAATTAAGCAGAGTTTGATTGATCATACCCTGCCCAAAACCACGCTAGACCCCTTCCCTACCCTTGAAACCATCCTAATATCCCATATCTCCTTCCCCCACACCCTCGCTTAATATGATTGGATTAGAGAGACCCTCCTTCTCTCTCCTCATCACCACCACCACCTCTTCCCTCTTCCTTACCTTAACCCGACTTTCCCCACCAGACCAAGAACCGTAGCGCCACCAGACCAAACCCACTGCTCATCCTCCCACCACAACCCACGAACCTCCTTTTCTCTCTCCTCTGACCTCTCCTACGCCCAGATGTAAACCCGACCGTCGCTCCTAGTTCAATCTACAAAATCCAAATCGTGTTTGGGTTCGGCGGTCTGGGGGTGGTCGGGATTCTGAGTTGAGCGACCTAGTGGTGGTGACGGTGAGAAGGACAAGAGGGAGGGAGGGTTGTGGGCTGGGATTTGGGAATCTGGCTTGGCGGTGGTCGAGGTGGAGTTGGCGCAGTGTCACCGGTGGTCGGGGGAGTCTGGGTAGTGTCGGCGGCGATCAATTGAACCTGAGGTAGTGTCGCCGGAAGGGAGATGGTGGCTGGTTTTTGGTGGTTGGGGTTAATTTTTTTAAATTTTTCTTTATTTTTTTTAAATAGAAATCTAACCATAGTTAATATTTAATGAAATAAGGTTATGAGTGAGATAAAATTTTTAACTAAGGTCATTTTGTATAATAAAAAAAAAGGGAGGTGACCATTGGTGCATAGCAGAAGTTGAGGGTCACCGTTAAGAATTTCCCTTTTATCTTCCACACGATACCACCCAAGATTATAGTTAATTAATAAAGTGGCACTTCGTTAATTAAAACGTTAATTTTTTTTTTTTAACAAAACCGCATACCAATAGTATTACTATATATTGGCAATGCCCACCTTGTCAAAGTAACAAGAGGAAGAACATATTGAGGACACTCCTCCATCCAGATTAGTTCCTCATGACATGGAACAATTTGGCGATGGATGATAAGGGAGAGCTTGAAGCTCCTTTAATGGTGACAGATTTCAGAAGAAGAAGAGAGAGAAAAAGAAGAAGAAGAAGAAGAAGAAGAAGAAGAAGAAGAAGAAGAAGAAGAAGAAGAAGAAGAAGAAGAAGAAGAAGAAGAAGAAGAAGAAGATAGAACCAAAGAAAAGAAAAAGAAGAAATTGATTTTTGTATTAATGAATTTAGCTAACTTTATTACAGCATTTATAGTGTAGTGGAGTCCATGTCATTTCCCACTTGCTAGCCTACAGCTCAGCTTAACTAAACTTTCCACTAACTAACTAATTCTTCCACTAGCAATCTGTAGCAAAATTCTAACAAACTCATAACAACTTTTCTATTAACAAGCTATTAAGCATTCCTACCATAACATAGCTTCCCTCCTTCTGACAGACTTGTCCTCAAGTTTGAGTCTGAAAAAATTCTGGAAACTGTTGCTCCATATATTCAGTTGATTCCCAAGTTGCCTCATAAGAAGGAAAACCTTCCCAATGCAACAAATATTGCACCTGAGCCCTGTTCTGATATTTAATCATCTTCTTATCCAGTATAGCAGTAGGTTTGATCTCATCTGAGTTAACACTATGACCTTGAAACACTGGTGGAATATGAGTACCCAAAGGCAGCTACCCTCTAAACACCTTGAGCTGAGATACATGAAAGGTGTCATGAATCTTAGCTTTACTAGGAAGTTTCAGCTTATATGCAACCTTCCCAACTACTGATGCAATCTGAAATGGCCCATAATACTGGTGAAAAAGCTTATGGTTACTTCGTTTTTGCACAGTATGTTGTCTATAAGCTTGCAGCTTACATACCCAATCTCCAACCTGAAACACTCTTTCAAATCTATGCTTATCAGCTTGAGTCTTCGTTCTTTGCTGTGCCTTTTCTAGGTGAAACTTGAGTTCAGAAATCATCCTTTCTCTTCTTTGTAAGCTCCTATCAATCTCATCATTCTTTGCTTCTCCAGCCAAATATGGTAAATGTAAGGGTGGAGTTTGGCTGTATACTACCTCATAAGAGGTAAGCTGTAAAGCAAAATGAAAATGGGTATTATACCACCATTCTGCCAAAGGCAACCACTTATGCCATTCCTGAGGTTGTTCACCAGACATGCACCTCAAATAGGCCTCTAAGCACCTATTAACTACCTCAGTCTATCCATCTATCTAGGGATGGTAAGCTGAAGAGAGTAAGAGATTTGTACCATAACGAGAAAAAAGCCCCTTCCAAAACTGACTGAGAAAAATGGGATCCCTGTCACTCACAATTGACCTAGGCCACCCATGTAACTTGAATACATTATCCAAGTAACATTGAGGAACTTGAATAGTTGTAAATGGATGTGATAGAGCCATAAAGTGTACATATTTACTGAATATGTCCATTACCACAATAACGACCTCTTTTCCTGCAGACTTAGGAAGACCAGTAATGAAGTCCATTGAAATATCCAACCATACCTCTTCTAGAATAGGTAATGGTTGAAGGTGACCAGGATAGGCAGATGTGTCATATTTGGATGCTTGGCAAACAACACACTTTCTGACAAATGCACTGACATCCTTAGTAATCCCTCTCCAATAGAACAACTTGATCTTTTTCAAAGTTAGTTCTCTTCCACCATGGCCACTTTCTGGTGATTCATGATGTAATATCCTGTATTTTTGAAACGTATTTTCTAATTAATTAATTAATTATTATTTTCTAATAAGGGTAATTTAGTAATTTATTTTACAATTTGAATTTTTGGAGCCAAAATGATATTTGAATTTTGGCGCCAAAAGTATTTTAAAACCTAATTATTATTTTTGGATTTATTTTATTTTTAAAAACCGAATTATTTATATAAATTTGGATATTTTAATTAAAGCAAAAATTATATTTTTATTATTTAATTAAGAGGTCCGAAAATTCCTAATGATTAGCTAAGGATATCGAATTTTCCTAGTGTGGAAAATCTGATTTTCTTGGTTAATTTATTTAGTGAATAATTGGTATCATTTTAATTAATTATTTTATACAAAATATATTATTTACACAGTTATTTTTAATCCTTAAATCTAGCAAAATACTTCCCTGAATACTACATAGGGTGTTCAAAATTTTGAGCTATGGAAGCTCAAAATTTTCGGCCACCATGATGGATTTTTGGGTGAATTATTTTGGTAATTTGTATTTTTAATTATCTCCTTTAAATCTATTATTTTCCTTAATTTTTATTTCCAACCTTCTAAATATTTGATCATCTTATTTTCCTACCTTATTTCATCCTTGATCATTCCCCAAGTAAACCCCTTTTGCCATATTATTTTAGAAAAATTGCATTAAATAATACCATCTTTCACCCGTCTGCTAAAAACAAGTCGACCTTTTGATTATCCCTAAATAATACCACCTTTGGAGGTTGTCCTCTTTAAACAAGTTTTTAACCTGCAACCTGAATGACCTGTTAAATTTCTTTTTTCTTTTTAATAACTTTGTTTAATAATGTAATTAACTCTTAATAACAACTTTAATGATCGTTAATTACAATTAAAATATTTTATCTTTAAAAAAAACAATTAAAAATATTTTTAAAAATTAAATAAAAAACCCAGCAACACCACCACTGCACCAGCCACCACACGCCAATACACCACCACTGCACCAGCCACCCCACGCCATACACCACCACTGCACCAACCACCCCACGCCATACACCACCACTGCACCAACCACCACACGCCATACACCACCACTACACCAACCACCACACGCCATACACCACCACTGCACAGCCAACCACCATACACCACATCACCCACTGCATCACAGCACCACCACACAGTTCCTAGTAGGCTTGTACCACGAACCCAGCCACGCAGACTCGCACCATAAACCACACCCACATCCTCGCACCCACGACCCCACACAACCTTGCACCAATAACACCCTCGCACCACTGCACCAGCCACCACACACCAACACAACCTCCATAATTCGAACTACCACCACCCAAAATCAAACCCTAATTCGAACTACCACCACCCAAAATCAAACCCTAATTCGAACCCAAATCAAATTTGGGGAGTTGCGGCAGTTTGGTTAGGGAGATGTCGGCGCTTAGGGTGCTTGGGGGAGATTTTGGCGGTGGTTGTGGATGGGTCGAGATTGTGGTTGGGTTGAACCCCACACGTCACCCCTTTCTTCATCCCGGCGTTGGCTAAAACACCGAACTCCCTCCTTCAAAATCCCTCCCCCTGCAAACCACCAAACTCCCTGTTCCCCGCAAAACCACCGAACGCCCTCCCAACCCCACTCCCGGCAGCGCCCATCCCCTCCCTTGCCGGACCAACGCCCTTCCCCCACCCCTGTTGTCGGTCGTCGCTCCTCCTTTTCCCCCCGAAACAACTTTTGGGGTTTGGTGGTGGGAGAGGGAGTATATAGCGGTTTTCATGGGGTTGTGGGAGTCGGGTAGGTAATTTGAGGGGGCGGGATGCTAGGTTCGGCTTTTCCGGTCCGAGGAGGAGGCTGTGGCGCCGGCAGGTGGTCGCCGAAGGGCCGGACGGACGGGAAGAGGTGCTGGCAGCCTTAGCAGGGAGGGGAAGGGGTGGCTGGTAAGGGAGGGGGTTATTTTTTTTTTACAAAAATAATAATAATAATTAATATTATTACCTTTTAAAAATTAAAATATTAAATAAAAAAACAAATTAATTTTTTTTAACCAATCACATTGACACGTTTCCCATATACCTATTAATCAAGTCAACAACAGGTCATGACTTGTTTAAAACGGACAACCTCCAAAGGTGGTATTATTTAGAGATAATCAAAAGGTCGACTTGTTTTAGCGGACGGGTGAAAGGTGGTATTATTTAATGCAATTTTTCCTATTATTTTTCATGACAACATACTTTCCTTATTTTTATTATTCTTAGGCACCTTAATATTAAAACTTTCCATAAATCTTTAATTCACTTCCCCAAGTAATTCCTTAATTCTATTTACCATAATTCTTCCTACATTCTCCTACCATAATTCATGCATGAGCTAGTCTATAAATACCCATTGATTCATGGCTAAACTCTCACACCAAATTCTCTAATTCTCTCTTAATTTATCTTCTCTCTTTCTCTCTTGTTCTTGCGCCAATCACCACCATCAAACACCACAACCACCACCGATCGCCACCGCCAGCTGCCACCGGCTACCACCACCAGCCGCTGGCAGCCGCAGCTGGCGCCTCCCCTTGCGCCACCTTTCTTCATCTTTTTCCTTGGTTTTCTACCTCTTCTTCTTCTCTTCTCTTATTTAATTAATTATTATTATTATGGGGGTTTTATAAAAATTATTATAAGTAGTTTTAATTAAATAAAATCATATTTTTATTCATGTTTATGAAAAATAAATTATAAGGTTCGTGTACATATAGTTAGGGGAGTTTTTAATTTAATTGTTGTGATTACTTGTTAACCTTATATTAATTAAGGTTATATTTATTTTAGGGTGTGTTCAATAAAAGTTCTTGAAGTTTATTTTTGTGTTGCTAGCAAGGATCAAAGGTATGTTTAGGTGGCTGGGTACCTTTGAAATTGATTGGATTGAATAAGTATGTTTTACATGATTTTAATGACGATTGAATTAATTTGAATTGAATTATGATTTTATGAAATGAAGCACGTTTTAAAAAATTGGTTTTGATAAATGAATTGGAGGATTGATTTTATATCATGGTTTGAAATTTTTTATTATGTTTAAAGGAGTTTGGTTTTTACAAGTATGTTGGATTGTTTTAAAAGAGTTTTTGAAAAAAAAAAGGTTTGATTTTAAAAGCTTGTTGAATTTAATACAAAAGGAGTTTTTGAAAAGTTTGATTTTATTCAAAGAGGATTTTATTAAAAGCTTTACAAGCATAATTATTATATTAATCCCACTATGCGGATTCGTTGAAAACTATGGACTTTGTATAACCTAGTCTTTCCTCAAGAACAGCCTTGAAATAGTAGGAGACTAGCTTGGGGGGTGTGCACACTTAGAGAGGAGATTGAGTTGTTGAAAATAATTGATTTTACTAATCATTACTATTGAGTTATTGGAATTGTTTTGAGAATATTTGAGAATTGGTTTTCAAAAGTGGAATCGGTTTTCAAAAGAGGAATTGATTTTATAAATCATTTTATCAAATTATTGAATTATTGGAATTGGTTTTGAATCATGAGTTTGGAATTATATTATTGGAATTGGTTTTAAAAGCATGTTTGCAAATAAATTGAATTTACTTATCTTGCACTTATCGTACTTAGCATATTTTTCTTATCCGTATTTCCTATTTTTTTTTGTTCGCCCTGTTTATCGTAATGGTAAGTAGTGTTGACTAATTTCAGGTGGAGTCAATAATTGAGCATATGGGAGTCACGGGAATGTTCTTCACCTGAAATTAGGATTGTTGGTCTTTGTTTAATTATGAGTACTCATGACAATGGTTTCTATTTATAGTTATTACTAATAAAGAAAGAGTTTGAATTTCCGGTATAAAGTATTGGTTTTGGTTTGTAGTTTGAGTAGCCTTGCGTAATCACGCGGCAGGAATAATACGCCTAAGTCTATCTCTACGGTATAATTTTACGTATTATACTAGTATTTCCATAGAGGGAGATTTGGGGGTGTTACACATGATGCCAAGAAAGGATTTTATGCCTTAACTAGACATCTGGTCCAACCACAATTCTTCCCTTTCTCTTCAACAAATTGTTTTCCCACTTGAAATCAGGAACGAAAATTTGATTCTGTAGTTGTTGGATTATGGTTGAGTAATTATCATCCAATTGATAACTTGAAGTAATTAGAGACCCAAGTTTGAATTTACTACAGAGACAACCATGCACAAGACCTCTGAACCTTGCACTCTAGAAAAAGCATCTGTAGCCACATTTTCCTTCCCACACTTATACTGAATTTCATAGTCAAATACCATCGATTTTGACAGCCAAAATTGTTGAAAAGGGGTTGAAATTTTCTGTTGTAACAACCATTTCAAACTCTTTTGGTCAGTCTTGATTATGAAATGAGCTCCCACAAGGTATTGTTCCCATTTTTGTATAGCAAACACTATGGCTAATAACTCCTTGTCATATACTGACAACTTCTGCCATTTAGGACCCAAGGATCTATTGATATAGGCTAAAGGGTTCCCTTCCTGCATCAATACTGCTCCTATCCTAGTCTTTGAAGCATCAGTTTCAAGGATGAACTGTTTCTCAAAGTTGGGAATAGCTAAGACAGGTGCGGAAACCAGAGCTGACTTAAGGTCTTCAAAAGCTTTCTGAGCTTGATTACTCCAAGCAAAACCATTTTTCTTGAGTTTTTCTGTCAATGGTTTGCAAATAATGGCATAGCTCTTGAAAAACTTCCTATAATACCCAGTTAAGCCTAAGAAACTTTTCAATTCCTTGACATTAGCTGGAATTAGCCAACTGCTCACTGCTGACACCTTCTTAGGATCAGTCTCCACTCCATTTTGAGTAATTTAATGGCCCAAGTATTCCACTTTAGAAGTTGCAAAAATACATTTTCTCTCTTTTGCAAACATACTATGCTCCTTCATTAGCTCAAATACTTCAGCTAAATGCTTCCAATGTTCCTGCAATGACCTGCTATACACCAAAATGTCATCAAAAAACACCAATACACATTTTCTGAGTAGTGGCCTGAACACATGGTTCATCCACCCTTGAAATGAGGCAGGAGCATTAGTTAGGCCAAAAGGCATAATTAAGAACTCATAATGCCCTATATGAGTCTTAAATGCTGTTTTGAATACATCATTTGCATTGACTCTCATTTGATGATACCCAGCCCTAAGGTCCAGTTTACGGAAAACAGCAACACCAGCTAACTCATCAATGAGTTCATCAATTACTTGTATAGGAAATTTGTTCTTAATAGTTCTATTATTTAATTCCCTATAGTCAACACACAATCTCCATGTTCCATCCTTCTTTCCCACCAACACTACTGGTGAAGCAAAAGGGCTTGAGCCATTCTGTATGATGCCTCTATCCACCATCTCGAACAAGCTGTTCAATGATGTCTCTTTGCTTTAATGGATACCTGTAAGGCCTGATATTGACTGGGGTGCTGCCAGGCATCAAAGGGATAGAATGGTCAAAGGCTCATCTCTCTGGAGGCAATGTAGTAGGTTCTGCAAAGACCATCCCTTACTGTTGCTTGAGAGAAGTAAATTCAGGTGATAACAAAATGTCCTTGTTGTACTACTCCAATTGCATTAAAGAGCCTTCAGCCTCACTAACCTGTAACAAGCATAGCTGAAATTGCAAAGTCCAGCACCTTTACAGTAAGGTTGCCCTCTATTACTGAAAGCTTCTTAGAAGGTAATCCCTTAACAACAAAGTGTTTACCATGTAAGCTAAACTCCATTCTTAGCTTTGGGAAATCCCATTGTATTGGTCCCAATAGCCTTAACCATTAAATACCCAAAACCATATCACAACTTCCTAAAGGAATTAAAAGAACATCTGCATCAAAATTATGTCCTTGCGTTTCCCAATTAAATCCCTTACACATATGTTGATAGGGAATATGATTCCTATCAGCTACTGAAATATCTTGAAAAAGGATTTGATCTAGGTTGCATCCCAGCTTATTTACCACATTCACATCTACAAAATTGTGTGTGCTACCAGAATCAATCAAAATGTGTGAATCTTTTCCATTGACCCTGCCCTTAACCCTCATAGTTTGGAAAGACTGATTCCCAGCAAGAGCATTCACAAAAATTTGGGGTTCTGAATTAGACTCAACAACTATTTTCAATTCTTCCTCATCATCAGAATCCACGGAGCCTGGTATTTCTACTGTAAACAACTGTGCTTTTTTGAATTGACATTGATGCTCTCTATTATAAGGTTGATCACAATAGTAGCATAGGCCCTTAGAAATTTTCTCCTGTCTAACGTTAGCTGGAATGTGTCTGTAATTTCTGGTATTGTGAGGTGTTTGAGTTAAAGCCGGTAAGGTAGGTCTAGTTTTGGGTGTTGGTATTAGGGTAGGTAAAGTGTTTGGGGTCAGTGTGTTTGGGGTTAGTGTTTTTGAAGGGTAAGAAGAGGACTTATTTTTTTTATAGCTAACAAAAGCAGAATTCAGTGATTCTTCTTGCAGTCTTGCATACTCCACTACTTAAGCAATTGTCATAGGCTTAAAGGCTTTGACAAAGGGCTTAACAGCTGGTCTAAGGCCTCCCACAAAACTTTCAAGAATATATGAGTCTGGTAACATATGATTATTCATCAACATTACAGATCTCAAATTCTCAAATTCATCAATATAATCCTCAATTGAACCCAATTGCTGCAATCGATTTAATTGTTCAACAACATCTATTGCATAATTGTCTTTAAAACGTGCATACAAATCTATCACAAAATCATTCCAATCAACAACTGCATATCTCCTTATAGACAAGTAGTTCATAACCCAATTCTCAACCTTATCAGTCATATTCAAAGATGCTAAATCAACTTTCTGACCCAGATTTTACATAGATTGAAATATTTGCAACATTTCTTGACCCAGATTCTCGGATTAGACCCATTAAACTTTGGAAATTCGAGTTAGGGTTCATACCTAAGGTCTTGGTGGATTGGACCTACTTAAGCTGTTGAACGAAGAGGTAGGAGATGAAGGTTCAGAAGGCGAAGACGAAGCAATCGTGACCTTCTCAGCTTGAATTGATTGCATCAACTTCAACATTTCTTCGAATTTCTGATCGATTTTGGAGTTTTGATCAGTAATTCGTTGTTCGAGGATCTTGAGTTGTTGCTCCATTGCAGCTACTCTTCTAGTAACAAGTAGAGGCGCCAAAATCTCTTACTGAAGGAAAACATTAAGGAAGCTCTGATACCAATGATAAGGGAGAGCTTGAAGCTCCTTTAATGGCGGCTGATTTCAAAAGAAGATAGAACCAAAGAAAAGAGGAAGAAGAAATTGATTTTTGTATCAATGAATTTAGCTAACTTTATTACAACATTCATAGGGTAGTGGAGTCCACATCATTTCCCACTTGCTAGCCTACAGCTCAGCTTAACTAAATTTTCCACTAACAACCTGTAACATATCGAATTCTAACAAACTCATAACAACTTTTCTATTAACAAGCTATTAAGCATTCCTTCCATAACAATGGAGTCTGCAACTTTATCACATAGTCTAGGACTAAAATTAAAAGAAAAATACTCAAACTTGTTTGCTTCCTTCAGGATGTCATTGACAATCAACTGAGCTGCTGTCCTATTAGTTATATTTGCCTCAATGAGGTTCAGTAAGTGTTGACAGTCAATTGACACTTCTAGCTTGCTAATACCAGCGTAATTTTCATAGCATAGTCCAAATAGAAGAGTTTTATAGCAAGCCATAAAGGGATTAGGCCTCTTTTGCTCAAAAACGTCAATTACAAATGTAAATTGAAAGAATAATATTCATACTATTTCTTAGATCATATGTAGTAGTTCTTGCATTATACCCATATTATCTTGACGCTTCTTGTAAATCCACCCGACGCAATCAATCGCCGCAACTCCAATTATTACTCCGACGACTACTCCGGCTTTATGACCGCTGTTTATTCCGCCGGAAGATGAATCTTTCTTGCTTCTTCACCCTGTACATACGCAACCTCATCCGCCGCCTCTGTTGACAGAGATGGTGACGTGGATGAGATATTTTCGGCGATGAGAGAGAATCTGGTGAGTTTTCTGGCGATGGGGATGGTGAACCGATGTCGGAAACGACGTCTTTTGTAGGAGATGGTGAAGGTGAAACAATGTCGGAAGAAGGAGAAGAAGATGGAGGAAAAGAGATGGGTGAAGGAGAGAAAGAATTGGAATCAACGGAGAGTAGAGGGGAAGAAGAAGGAGAAAGGGGATCTAAGCCTTTGAAGAGAGGGCGAAGGGGGTATGTATTAAGAGAGAGAAAAAAGAGTGGTCGTCGTTGATACTGACAAATTCGCCATTATTGTAGATCTGTGTACAAATGGAAGAATGAATGAATGAAGTAGATCAACGGTACCAAATATAATTAACGTTTTAATCAACGGAGTGTCACTGTTTTTATTAACTACTTCGTATAATCTTGGGTGATACGGTATAGATGAAAAAATATATTTGGGTAATATATGGAAAAACAAAAGTTGACTGAATATGAAGTGCACAAAATCGAATTATAATGTACTTTTGTTATCTAATGTTCTTTAAGCGATCATTTCTTCGGACCCCCAAAAACCTTCTAATAAACTAGCCCGTAATCAAAGATAAATATTCGTTTATATATCAGAAAATTACTGCACCTAATATTTATGTTTAGAGGAAGGGAAAAGTTTCTAGTAATCGTAGCTTCAATGAAGGAGATATCTGTTTGATTCAATTATTTATGTATTTGTTAAATTTAGAAGATAATATCAAGTGATATTTGCCATCACTGACATTTACCATCAAGCTCAGCTAACTAATTATGAACATAAATTGTCAAATAAAACAACTCATGCCGCCTCTATATAAAACTTAAACAAAAGCAAATGGATGGGTTAAACATTAATAAAGTATTACTCCACAACAAATTAAATGTTTTATACGAAGTACTACATATATTATAATTCCAACTTGGTAACAAATTTCCTATAAAATATAATGCTTTTCAAAGCATAAATAAGGACACTTACAACCTCAAATCTATAACTCTCCCTTCTTATCCTAGCAGTTGTTTTTTCTAATAATCTATTGAAAATGGCAACTTACATTATGAAATCAGACAAGTTTTTCATCGGATCTAACAGCACAGACGATGGGATACTAGTGTATGAGTTGGATGGTCTTTACATGGTACCGGTGAAAAGTAAGCACTGGAACTATATTCATGATCTCAGGGCCGCAAATGTCGAGCCCATGAGCAAGCCCACGTGTGAGTGAAAGTGTTGTCCCCATTAAAAGAGTGTAAAAGTGTTGGGAAGTGTATCCCACACTGAAAAAACAAGAAAGTTGTGTCTCCTTTATAAAGCTAAGGGGCTACTCCCCTCGTTGTCATATGATTTTGTGATGGAACCTTTTTTGGTCTTATGAAGTGGACTCTCTCTCTTGGTTAGTGGGTACGGCCCAAACTCATATTTAACATAATATCAGAGCCAAGTTGGATTGTGTTGTGATATGAGTCAGTATTATGGACAACTCACATGTGAGGGGGAGTGTTGAGCTCATGAGCAAACCCACATGTGAGTGAAAGTGTTATCCCACATTGACAGAGTGTTGGGAAGTGTATTCCACGCTTAAAAAACAAGAAAGTTGTGTCCACTTTATAAGGCTAAGGGGCAACTCCCCTTATTGTCGTATGGTTTTGTGATGAAACCTCATTTGGTCTTGTGAAATGGACACTCTCTCTTGGTTTACGGGTACGACCCAAACCCATATTTAACAGGAACATATATGAAGCGTTGAAGATCGGGGACAAAGAAATTTGGGGTGATCATTTGCAGACACTAACCAAAGATCTTTACAACTCCGAGCTGATGGTTAACTGCGATGGCCTTTGTTTCTTACCAACCAGTTCATGTGCGGCTATTGAGATGGATTTAGAGTACTATCGGATGTTTGATCTCTATTGATTGGTCTAAGTATGGGGTGAAAACATCACTGACAACTAGAGGGGCTCGAAGAGACATCGTGTATGGCTGTCGTCCCTTGGATATAGTAGAATAGACAAAAAGGGATGACAGTGGTGATGATGGTAAATATAAGGTATAAAGGTAGAGTTGAGGGAGAAGGAGAAGGAAAAGTATGAAAAGCGCGGGTGGATGAGGTGGAGTACCAAATGGAGGTGGGATTGAGGAAGAAAAGAATGGAGATTGATAGAATGAAAGCGGAGTTTGAGGTTGTAGAAGGTAAAAGAGAGGAGGAATTGAAGGAGAAGCAAGAGGAGATGGAGAAAATGAAGATGGAACATCAAGAGGTAGGTATTAGAAGAAATAGAGATTAGAAAACAGGAAGATTTGAATTTGAAAGA